CAACAGGCAGCCTGCCCATAGCCTGATGCCTGCTTGCCCAGCCTTGACATGTGGAGTCTACACTGTCAACAGCTTGGACTGCCACTGCTTCCTGATCCTTTTTTTCATAGAATCACAAAACAGACTGGGTTGGAAGGAACCTTCAAAGCTCATGCAGTCCATCCCCCTGCAATGAGCAGAGAAATCTTCTTCTAGATCAGGTTGCCCAGAACCACATCCAGCCTGGCCTGGAATGTCTCCAGGGATGGTGCATCCACCACTTCTCTGGGCAACCTGTGCTAGGATTTTACCACCCTCATTGTACAAAATTTCTTCCTCAAATCCAGCCCGAATCCCCCCTCTTTTAGTTTAAAACCATCACCCCTCACCCTGTTGCAACAGGCCCTGCTGTCTCTCCCCATCTTTCTTATAGGCCCCTTTTAAGAACTGAAAGGCCGCAATAAGGTTTCCCCAGAGTCTTCTCTTCTTGTCGTGGTTTAAACCCAACCGGTAACTCAGAACCACAAAGCCACTCGCTCACTCCCCCCCCTTCCTCCCCCTGCTCCCAGAGGGATGGGGAGGAGATTCAAAAGAACGTAAACCTCACAGGTTGAGATAAGAACAGTCCAGTAACTAAGGTATATTATAGCACTACTAATAATAACGATAGGGGAAATAACAAGAGGTGAGAATATAAAACTAAAAAGGGAAAAAAAAAACCCACAACAAGAAGACAAACCAAAACCTAATAAACACAAGTGATGCACAATCCAATTGCTCAGCACCAACCAACCAAAACCCACCCAAACACAGCACTGCACCAGCTACTAGGATGGAGAAAAATAACTGCTACAGCTGAACCCAGGACACTTCTCCAGGCTGAACAAGCCCAACTCTCTCAGCCTTTCCTCACAGGAGAGGTGCTCCAGCCCTCTGATCATTTTTGTGTCCCTCCTTTGGGCCCTTCTCCAACAGGTCCACGCCTTTCCTGTACTGAGGACTCCAGAGCCAGATGATTCAATACTCCAGGGGGGTGGGGGGTTGTCCTGGGTTCAGCAGTAGCAGTCATTTTTCTCCTTTGTGGTAGCTGGGGCAGTGCTGTGTTTTGACTTCCAGCCTGGGAACAGTGCTGGTGATACTGATGTTTTCGGTTGTTGCTAAGTAATGTTTACCCTGACCAAGGACTTTGTGAGGCTCATGCTCTGCCAGGGAGGAGGGGAAGCCGGGAGGAAGCAGAGACGGGGCGCCTGACCCAGGCTAGCCAAAGAGGTATTCCATACCACAGCACGTCATGCCCGGGGTGGGGGGTAACTGGGAGTTACCTGGAAGGACAGGGTCAGACTTGTTTCTTGGCAAGTGGTATTGTATTCTCTTCCCTTGTTATTTTCTCTTATCATTGTTGTCGTTGGTGGTAGCGGTGGTGATATGTGTTGTACATTGGTTGCTGGACTGTTCTTGTCTCAACCCGTGGGAGTTGCACTCGTTCGATCCTCCTCCCCATCCCTCACGGGAGCATGGGGAAGGGGAGAGCCTGGGGGGGGGGGGGGGGGGGCGATTGCTCTCAGCCTGGCACCACTCACTGGGAGTGAGTGAACAAGCTGTCTGGCTAGGGTATAAACCACGAAAGGGGTGTGTGTCTCACCAGAGCAGAAGGGCAGAATCACTTCCCTTGACCTTTCCCACCCATCTGTCTTCCTAATGTGTTAACAAGTTGCAAGAAGGATAGACTACAGCATGTCCTGGGTTCAGCAGTAGCAGTCATGTTTTTCCTTTGTGTTAACTGGTGCAGTGCTGTGTTTTGACTTCTAGTTTTGAGAACAGTGTTGGTGAAGCCGATGTTTTCGGTTGTTGCTAAGTGATGTTTACCCTGACCAAGGACTCTGTGAGGCTCATGCTCTGCCAGGGAGGAGGGGAAGCTGTGAGGAAGCAGAGACGGGGCGCCTGACCCGGGCTAGCCGGGGAGGTATTCCATACCACAGCACATCATGCCCGGGGTGGGGGGGTAACTGGGAGTTACCCGGAAGGACAGGGGCTTCCGGGTGGAACTCGCTTTCTTGGCCGGTGGTATCGTATTCTCTTCCCTTGTTATTTTCCCTTATCATTGTTTTAGCTGATAGTAGCGGTGGTGATTTGTTGCTGGACTGTTCTTGTCTCAACCCGTAGGAGTTGCACTCTCTGGATCCTCCTCCCCGTTCCTCCGGGAGCGGGGAAGGGGAGAGCCCCGGTGCGGGGGGGGGGGGGGGGGGGGGGGGAGACGGACACAGACCTCGATTGTTGTCAGCTCGGCACCACTCACTGGGAGTGAGTGAACAAGTTACCTGACTGGGTTTAAACCACGACACAGCATTAAAATTACATCTAAACTAAAAGCAAAACTTTGATTTGCTTTATTTCCTCAACATAGCAAATAGAGTAGAAGTTATAGCTGAGGTATATTTACTAAAGAGGCAAAGAAGTACAAGTTCCATGGTGTAAGACCTTACACTAAGACAGTGCACAGAAATCCCATGTGACATTTTGGTCAACTATTTTTAAGTATGGTTCTGGAAGAGCTTTGCAGCAGGGCAAATACCATAAGGTATTTTAAGACAGCTTGATCAGCTGCATGAACAGTTAAACAAGCTTAATAGCAATTACTTCTTAAGATAGAAAAATCAAGCTGGATGTCCAAAATGTTGACTTAGCCAGGAGGATTTGAAATCAGACTCAATTTAATCCCATATTTCAGGGCGCTTGCTGGTTGCTCTAGAAGCCAGTGGGAGGCCCTTCTTTTCTCAGGTTGTTCCCTTCCCATTTCTGTTTAAGCCTTAGAAACTGTGAAAGCTTGGCAAGGATTTTCTTTTGCACGTCTTCAGTGTGGGATAACAGCCACTTCCTGAACTTGCTCTGAATTTCAATGTTTTCTTTCAGTACAGGGAGTAAGACACTGGTGCTTGTGATACACCCAGTGGTTAGAGTTCAGGAAAAGGTCACCACACATTGTGACAAATCAAGAAAACATGGCAAATAGGGACAGGGTGAATGAAGAGCCAGGGATATTTGGTCAGAGAGAAGACCACAAAGCAGTGATAAAGGTCTTCATGTACACAAAGATGAAAGAAATTAGTTATTCTCCACCTCCACATGATCCAAGAGTAATGGACTTTGACTACATGGGAGATTCAGCTTAGTCATCAGGAAAAGTTTCCAACACAAGTACAGTGCTGGAATAAGTTACAGAATCACACAGAATAGTTACGGTTGAAAAGGACCTTAAGATAATCTAGTTCAACCTCCCTGCCATGGACAGATATAGCACACACTAAACCATGTCACCCAAGACTCCATCCAACCTGTCCTTTAACACTGCCAGAAAGGTAATGGAATGCTGGTTTAGACACACACCTTTCAGGCAGGACTGATGCATAACTGAATTAGCTTCAGATCAGAAGATTCAGTGAGGTCCCATCTTGCATATTTATATTTACCATTGGGACTAAGTCCTGTAGCACAAGTCCTTCATTTGTCACTGGAGTCACAGAGAGGAACAACAGAAGCATAAACTGATACATGGAAATTAACTTCTTTAGACAGAATTGAAGTAGAAAGATGCCCTGGGATCTGTGAAAGATGACAGGGGAAAAAAAACAAAAAACAAAAAACAAAACAAACCCAAACAAAACTGTTTTCATGGTTTAAGCCCAGCCGGTAACTCAGAACCACGCAGCCACTCACACGCTCCCCCCTTCATGCCCCCTGCTCCCAGAGGGATGGGGAAGAGAATGGAAACAATGTAAATCCCACGGGTTGAGATAAGAACAGTCCAGTAACTAAGGTATAACATAAAATCACTACTGCTACCACCAATTATAATAATGATAAGGGAAATAATAAGGGGAGAGAATACAGTTGCTCACCATGTGCCAACTGATACCCTGCCTGACCCGAGCAGCCATCTGGGCCTTTCAGGTAACTCCTCCCAGTTTACATACAGGGCATGATGTGCTGTAGGATGGAATACCCCTTTGGCTAGTTTGGGTCAGGTGTCCTGGCTCTGCTTCCTCCAGGCTTCCCATGCCCCTCCTCACTGGCAGAGCACGAGACTACAAGTCCTTGGTCAGAGTAAACGTTACTTAGCAACCACTAAAAACATCAGTGTTATCAGCGTTGTTCCCAGGATGAAAGTCAAAAACACAGCGCTGCACCAGCTACTAAGAAGGAGAAAAGTGACTGCTATAGCTGAACCCAGGACTACGGGTCATTTACATTCGACTTCATCTGGATCTACAGGCGCATTCCTTGCATCCGGCCTACGACAGATCATCTCTACAATGGCTGATTCCCTCAGAGACTGGATGCTTCTCTCTATCGTGGTCCGCTCTGCTGACCGACACATAACATCATCCTTGTATGGAAACCTTTCTTTCATAGCTGCCAAGAGCCACCTCCAAAGCCTGAGGGCTCATTTCTCTTTTGCAATTGCTTTGTCAGTTCCCCCTTCCCTAGGAAGTGATCCCAGCTGCTTGGCTTCCCTACCTTCTAGTTCGTGACCATCAGCCCCATTGTCCCAGCATCAGAGCAATCAGCTGAAATATTTTCTCATATCCGCAGCTCAATCAAGGACTGGGATCAAGAAGTCACCCAACACAAGTGATGCCCAATACAGTTGCTCACCACCCGCTGACCTGAGGAGCCTGCCCAACCTGAGGAGCCATCTGGGCTTTTCAGGTAACTCCCCCCACTTTCTATACTGGGCATGATGTGCTGTGGGACGGAATGCCCCTTTGGCTAGTTTGGGTCAGGTGTCCCGTGTCTCTGCTTCCTCCTGGCTTCCCCTCCTCCCTGGCAGGGCATGAGACTCAAAAAGTCCTTGATCGGAGTAAACATTACTTAGCAACAACTAAAAGCATCAGTGTGTTATCAGCATTGTTCTCAGGCTAAAGCTAAAACACAGCACTGCACCAGCTACTAAGAAGGAATAACTGTTACAGCTGAACCCAGGACAAGACTGATAACCAGAACAAACTTGAACATTGACTTACCAGGAAGCCTGTTCATGCTGACCCCTTGAGCAGAAAGTCCTACTCCTATGTACCTTCAAAAAACCAAATAAAGTATCAGTCAAACACAGAATGGCCAAGCCACCAGATTTCCTGCAGCAGAAACAGAGCAGTAAAAAACAAAAAACCCAATCCACACTCATTTAAGGTCAATGTTGAAATCATTTTCCCATTACTTTTTCAGTCTTTTCTTGAATGCAAGATAAAATGCCAGTCTGCTTTAGTGACTGACAGCTTTCCAGTATAGAACTACAGCTACTCTTTTGCTGTTCATGTGTAGGAAGAGGACTGGAAAGCAATTGGCAACTAAACTAGTGGGGATTTTGAGTTTTGTTGTTGGTTTTGTTTTGTCCTTTGTGGGTTGTGTTTTTGTTGGTTTTGGTTTTTTTTTTTGGTTTTGTTGTTTGTTTTTTTTTTACTCCATATATCAGAAAAAATACCCCCACTTATATAGGTGGTTAACAAGAACGTAAAAAATACCTAAGGGCATCTATAGTATATGGGGACAAATGTCTATCTAGCTTAAGGTATTGCCTCCAGGAACAGCTGGCAGTGGATGCACAGGATACAGCAAACGGTTGTACTTTCCAAGAGCATTCTTTCGTTGTCCAACACATTTTACATATTTCCAAAGGTGTTCTTTCTGTATTTCACACCTCAATAGATTTCCTCCCATTAATTTGACCACTTTCTGAACCTTTGCAAGCTCTTTAAAAAGACAACATCCACCACTCAATTACGGTCCAAGCTAGCTTTGCTTGACGCTTGCATTTTAAGAATTAGAAGACAGGGGAAGAGCATTTATCTGTTAACTTTACTCAAGGTTCTGACGGTCCTCATTCATAACCTACTCTGCAATGGTCTCTTCTCATGTTTGACTACTCACAGTCCACTCAGTTGTTCATCTTATGGAAGCTCCTCTATACATCTTAATACTCTTGCTACACTTCTAGTTCTGTTATCCTCTTTGAGAAGCCAGGGGAAACCAGAACTGCGAGCGTCATTCCGTCATTCACAACACAAATGCACATGGTGATTATTACAGACAACAGTATAATGACGTCCTTGATTTTGGTTTCTATTCTTCCCCTTCCTGGTCTCTATTATTGCTTTTTGTTTGGTTTGGGTTTTGGTTTTTTTTTCACTGCAGATGAGAACTGAGCTGAACAGCTGCTCACGTCCTCGGTTCCAAATACTCCAAGCCAGTTTTGTGTATACAACAAATTCAGAACTAGTTAAGCAGTACTTACAGACCTACTACTTGCTTGTTTGCTTTTTTTTTTTTATGAATAAATTATAACATTAAATATCATTCAATGTAAACCTCTGCAGAGCCTGTGTGCCTATATCATCCCTGGTTTTGGAGGTTTCAGGTGTGGACAGACTCTATCTGAGGTATCCATTAACTGCAGTCTCTTTTTGAGGGATTCCAAGAGACTCTTAGAAGAGGGTGCACAGAAAAGTTAGCACCCACTTCAAACAGGAAGGAAAAAAAAAATAAGTAAAAAAAAATAATCTTTTTTAGGGGTCTGGGTAATGATACATTTAAACCCATTATCCATCATACATAAAATATATACCTTAAATAAAACCAGGCAAAAGTGACCACCTAAAACCATCTTCTCAGCAGTGAACATGGAATACTTGCGACTGCCCCCCCAACCAGATCAGAAAAATACTGCATCAGTAGATCAATTCCAAATAGAGCAGAGAAACAAAAAGAACCCCAACAAACCACCAAACAAACCACAGACACATGCTAGTGATTCAGGCAGAACGGTCTTGTTTCCACTTACCAGCAGCCTTGGCGGTTACCATAGCACTAAATTCTTCCAGATTTCTCCTGCACCTCAGCCCAGCTGCTTTTTAAAATTTGATTATACTAAATCAGCAACACTTCCCACAAGCCATAACATCAGCTCTGCCTTTCATACATACACCAGTTCTCCTTGGCCACAGCAGGTGAATGAAGGACCTTGGTAGCAAGCCTTCATGCGAGAAAATGCTCACTCTACACACGTGTCTGCACAGCACACGACCAGCAGAATTGCCAATAGCTTTCCCTCTAGATCTTACAGCATGCTGACAGAATGGGCTGCATCTCCAGCAGCATGAACAGCAGGTCGAGGGGATTCTTCCCCTCTGCTGTATTCTGGGGAGACACCCCCACCCACAGTCCTGCATCAAGCTCTGGGGCAACAGCACAAGAGGAATGTGGAGCTGTTGGAGCGCATCCAGAAGAGGTGGAACGAGATGAGTTTTAAGGTCCCTTCCAACACAAGCCATTCTAGGATTCTATGAAGATTAAGTTCAAAAAGACAAAGTTTTTGGTTCCCTCCCCCAGTTCCCAAGTACTTCAGCAGTAAACATCAGCATGCATGCTACTCCAGCCCAGTGACCTTTAAAGAGGACAGCATCACTTCTGGCTCCTAAGAAAATTTGTGTGGTGGATTCTGCAGTGCAGAGACTTAATATACACAAATTTAAGGTTTTGCTCGATTCTACCAATAAAAGGCTGTAATTGGATAAGAGATGGAAAGAGCCAAAGTGATGACTGTACTTCCAAATAATAATTTAACTCCTAAAGAAACGACCTCACCTGGAGTATTGTGTGCAGTTCTGGTGTCCTCAACATAAAAAGGACATGGAACTGTTGGAACAAGTCCAGAGAAGGGCCACAAGGATGATCAGGGGACTGGAGCACCTCCCGTATGAAGATAGGCTGAGAAAGTTGGGGCTGCTCAGCCTGGAGAAGAGAAGGCTGTGTGAAGACCTCATGTCGTGGTTTAAACCCAGTCAGGTATTTGTTCGCTCACTTCCCCCCCCTTTCTTGCCCTCCCCCTGCTCTCGGAGGGACGGAGAGGAGAATCGAAAAGAATGCAACTCCCACGGGTTAAGAACAGTTTAGTAACCAAGGCATAACACAAATCACTACTGCTACCACCAATGATAATAATGATAAAGGAAATAACAAGGGAAGAGAATACAACACCTCAGCACCAGCTGACCGATAACTCGGCCCCCAAGCCCGACCAAGCTCCGACCGATACCTCCTCCAACCCTGCAGTCTCCCAGCCCTTCCGGCTAACTCCCAGTTACATCCTGGGCATGACGTGCTGTGGTATGGAATACCTCTTTGGTCAGTTTGGGTCAGGTGTCCTGTCTCTGCTTCCTCCCAGCTTCCCCTCCTCCCTGGCAGAGCATGAGGCTCACAAAGACCTTGGCCAAACCAAAACATCCTTGTTATCAGTTCTGTTCCCAGGCCGAAAGTCAAAACACTGCACTGCACCAGCTACCAAGAAGGAGAAACATGACTGCTACTGCTGAACCCAGGACACCTCATAAGCAGCCTTCCAGTATCTGAAGGGGGCCTATAGGGATGCTGGGGAGGAACTCTTCATTAGGGACTGTAGTGATATGACAAGGGGTAACGGGTTAAAACTTAAACAGAGGAAGTTTAGATTGGATATAAGGAGGAAATTCTTTCCTGTTAGGGTGGTGAGGCACTGGAATAGGTTGCCCAGGGAGGATGTGAATGCTCCATCCCTGGCAGCGTTCAGACCAGGTTGGACGAGGCCTTGGGTGATATGGTTTAGTGTGAGGTGTCCCTGCCCATGGCAGGGGGGTTGGAACCAGATGAACTTAAGGTCCTTTCCAGCCCTAACTATTCTATGATTCTATGCATTTACTCAGCCAGGAAGCACTGTATATTCTCACTGGGCAGAAATTATCCAAAAAGCTACAAGCAAAGTTATTTCACAGGAGTGACAATATTTGACTAACCTAACTTCAAACACAGGGATCTCTCAAAGAGGCTGTTCTAAGCAGTCATCGTCGTCATCATCGTCATCATCATCATCATCATCATGGCTTGACTTTGCAAAGGGCTTTACCCACGCTTACTACAAGCGCGCTGATGACTGAAAAGGCCAATGTGAGATAGGCAAATCCGGCTGCAAAAAGCACAGTGAAAGGTCTCCTTGGGTGGTATAGGCGGGGCCCAATTCTTTCTATGCTGTCTTTTCTCCTCGAGACTAGTTCTGCGTGAGTTCTCAAAGGAGTCAACGGCATTATGTATGGTGTGTCTCCAAGTCTCCTGATTGGAGGCCAAGGTGGACCACTGATGGTAGTCAATATGGCCAAGGCTAAGGTATTGTTTCAGGGAGTCCTTATATCTCTTCTTTGGGGCACTTCTCTTGCGGCTACCGGTGGCAAGTTCACCGTAAAACACAATCTTAGGGAGGCAGTGATCCTTCATCCTAGAGACGTGCCCTGCCCAGCGCAGCTGCAATTTCAGCAATGTGGCCTCAATACTGGTGACACCTGCCTGTTTGAAGACAGTAACATTTGACACATAGTCAGTCCAATGGATGTTTAGAATTGCACAGAGGCAGCGCTGATGAAAGCATTCGAGTCGTCGCAGGTGATGGCGGTAGATGACCCATGATTCAGACCCATATAAAAGAGTAGACAGTACAATGGCTCTATAGACACTGATCTTTGTACTTTTCTTCAGGTATTTATTGCACCAGACTCTTTTATGGAGTTTTCTGAAGGCTCTATATGCCTTTGCTATTCTGCTGTCTATCTCTTTGTCGATCGTGGCATCCGAGGAAATAATGCTTCCCAGAGAGCTGAACTGACTTAAGCTCTGACTCGCCAATGGTAATGTGGGGATGATGGTAATCTTCTTTGTGGTGCAGGTTGGTAGAGAACTACTGTCTTCTTCAAGCTGACTTCCAGCCCAAAAAGCTCAGCCGCCTCCACAAAGCAAGATGTTAAACGCTGCAGAGCTGCTTCTGTGTGGGCAACAAGGGCGGCATCATCAGCAAAAAGCAGTTCACAGACAAGGTGATTTAGGGTCTTAGTGTGGGCCTTCAGTCGCCTTAGATTGAATAGGCTACCATCAGTACTATATCGAATATAAATGCCGTTTTCACAGTCACAGTATCACAGTATGCTAGAGATTGGAAGGGACCTCAAAAGATCATCTAGTCCAATCCCCCTGCCAGAGCAGGAACACCTAGATAATGTT